ATTGGATTTTATAACACATTTTAGATTTTTAGCAGGTCTGCTTGTAACTGACTTCGGATAAACTTTTCGACATTTCGACTCTCCGACTCTGCAATCTGTGGCAAGGAGCTAGCGGGCTGACATTGAAAATACATGCTTCACTTTTTGACAAAATTGAGTAGAGCGAAACCGTTGTGAAAGAAAAAATCTAATTTTTTGAAAATGTTGCGCACAACTTTCGGTCTAACTTGATACTGAGTAATGCTACCAGTTTTAGAGGAGTTCCATATGAGCGCTATTTTAGCCTCTTGTCCGCCATATCCCAGAAAACGTTTTTGCTCATCTTTCATCATGTAAAAAAAATGAACTCGCTGGAAATGGAAATCATTACGAAAACAGAATTGTGATGCAAGACTCATGCATCAAACCATTATTATCTGTGCCCTAAAAGTCAGTTCAGAAACAATAATTTCATCATTCAATCATTCAATCAAGAAACCTTTTCCGCGTGTAGCCTTCGAAAGAGTTATCGCACAAGTCCCCATATGGATTGGCCCTTCACGGTTAGAATCATAGTAACATGGAACTGGACCTTTATTTTCGTTCTCTTGCTCAGTATACGTGGCCTTTGGACGCCTTTTTCTTTCCAAATTTGCTTTGATGAAGAATTTACAAAAAAATTGCAGTACCTCCTTGACTCCAGCAAGCAAATCTCGACATTCTTTGTCCTTCCCAGCAGATTTGTACGCTTGAGCTAATCCATACTTCAAGTGACACAAAGCTAGATCATCTTTGTCCTGGTACTGCTGTTGCAAATTTAATAAGGCGCCACCGTATTTGATCATTTCTTCGGTGCTGAAAGAGATCAGATGTAGATCTAAATGAATTTCAGTCGGAAATATGCCTATGTCTGTTTGTCTGTCGCCCTGTGTGGTGGGTGTACGTATGTTTCAGATAGAAAATTCCATTTCTGAACCGAGGTGTCGTAGGCTGCTCTTCATATCGATCGAAATCGTTGTCGATTTTCTTGCATGGTCAGGGTTAGCAAAAGGGGTAAGCGAGCATGCAAATCAAGAAAAGTTTGAGGGCAGTGTCCAGGAAAGGCTGAGGGTTGTGGATTTCTAGTACCAGTTAAAAACGAGCGCCCAGCGCCATCGCGAGATCAGTTCTAGCAAGAGGAATCGCTTGACAAGCTGGGAGACTCAGCGTAGTGGATAAGCTTACAAGGGAATGGTCAGAAATCGAAGTGGCCAATCC